AAGAAGAACGTTTACTGATTCGGAAAAGCTCTTATCTGCAACAATGGTTTCAACATTTTCCAATATTCCGCCCCAAACTCAAGAGGATGAGCTTGGAGCAGAAGATTTCATAATGCTTAAATAGTTAAAAATATTTTTTGCACCATCAACACAACAAGGATGATTATTGATGTTGAATAATTGTGAGGCGTAAAAATTTACAATAAAGCGTAAAATTTTGTATAGTAATAAGAAATTGACCTTTTTTGACATATACAATATCAAAATTTTGTTTATTTTGATTAGCCATCTAGCACGGTCTTAATTTCTTAGCATTATGTTTTGTAAAAACGTAATTTTGTCTCTATATGTTTAACCATGATGCATGCTTAGATGAATAGAAACCTGTTTCTGACACCATACGTTTCTCTGACTTGTAAGTTTTGCAAGATCTAATACAGTTTCTGCTGACAAAATAGCTTCATATCTTTTATAACTACATTCATTCATATCTATTAGTACTACAAGACAAGCGCCCCTGTTACTAATCTTGAGTATGTCTTTGGACAATAAATGTATTACCTGAAATTTCACATTCCAAAAATTTCAGTAACCATGATTTGTTGCAGTTTACGTCATCACCACCATTATTACATGCATCATTGCTTATATCGTTGTGGATTTAGTTCATTTTTGTCTCTTTTTAATTTTCTGATTCCCCTCAACCTTTAAATGTTTGACTGCTGTCATCTTTTTTTTTTGCAACTTAATTGTAGTCTTATCTATAGCACTTATTCGCATTTTGAGTAATTTTATTTTAGTATAATCAGAAAATCCACTCTGTTGGAGATAATTTATGCAACAGTGGACAAATACAAAGTGTATTCTCTTGAACACCACTGTCAACATATTAATATTATATCAGTCATTACAAGTATTTATATTAAATACAGTTTTTAATGATTTAAACAGTCTTGATAAAATAAGGATATCTTCTTAGAACTGAGGTAATTACAAATATCTTTACTTTTATTAACCAACTTATACGGCTGACTACACTCTTCTTATCGAGAATGCTGGGAGAACCGCAGAGTTGTACATAAATAGAACTTCTTTGGCTGTCACTCGGTTATGCATAAATTTTTTGTGTCGTAAGTAGTAGTTATACCTGTAAACATGTCTAATTCAGTCTGTAAACATAACCGGAAGGAGAAAATTGATTATATAACTGCAAGCTGGCGTTAAACGAAGAGTTTGGTTTTATATTTACATATTTATGTTTGCATATATATCAAAACCTGTCATTTGGCCCCAAATTAGAAGCCCTTTTACAAATTTATTTTTAATAAATGTTTAACAAATCGCTTATTAGTAATTTACTAAACATTTAATTAACCCAATACAAAGCATTATGTCTTTGCAGTAAAATTGAAATCTCAAAATAGCTTATTTTTAATTGATCCAATTAGTCATTTAATTGAATTCTTTTTAAAAATGAGTAAATCTCTTTTATTTTAAGTTGCTAAGATTGAAGCACATTAATAATATATTGATAAATCTGACAATTTTAAAGGTTTATCTCCAGCTGATAAACCGAAATTGTTTATTTAGGTATTACACTATTCAATATACCTACCTATTTACAAATGTTTTTTTTGATATAATATGTATTGTAAAATAGATTTTTATAAAATTTATTACAAAAAAGAGATGAGTTTACTATATTACAAAATGCTTTTTTTTTATTAGGCTCATGATAAATTGTGAAGTATGATTCTCATTGTGCTTATATCTTTAATAAATATTGCGCCGTTGTCAAGTAAATATGCACTTCCAGGGTTAGGTACTGCGTTGTTAAAAAATTTTTTTTTTTGTTACTAAGTGTTTAATAAATATTTAAATGTAGTAGTAAAAACTGAAAAACATACGAAAAAATTATTTAAATGATTATAAGTTAAATTAAAAAACATTAACTTTTATATGATAAATAAGTAAGTTAATTTTTTTACTATAATTGTTTCAGCCGTTCGGTTTCGTTTCAACGTTTGGGATGACAACTCCAGCTTTATTTCATTTCAAAGAACACTGATGTCATTCGCGATTGTCTCGCTAACATAAAGAAATCATTATCAATAGTCTTACTATCATACAGAAATTATTCGCAAGGATTTCGCTTACAACATGCAGTCATTCGCAATAGTCTCGCTATAATCAAGATTTTTTTTAAACAATTTTTTTATTTTGTATTTGTTATTTTAGGTGCCATAACAAGTCCTAATACCATGTTCACACTAGCGAGGTTCGGCAGAACATTATTCCGGAACAAATGTTCCTGGAACAAAATGTTCAAAAAAATGTTAATTGTAGCGTTCACTTGTAAAATTGGCTTGACGGTACATAAAAGAAAAAAAACGGTAAGTAAAAAAACGGTAAGTAAAACTCGAATAAAAATTAGTGACAAACAGTTTGGCAAATACACATTGTTAATATAATTTATTAATTTTTAATATTTATTCATTTATGAGAGGTAAAACTAAATGCAAATAACGCTGAGGGTTCAGCTATATTTTGGATTGGGTTTCTATTGTCTAATTCTGAAATTAGACAATAGAAACCCAACCCAAAATATCCGCCATACAAAAGGTGACGTTAAAATTTTGTTATCCCGTTTCTTGGCTTTTATGGATAGGTCATATCTCATTTAGTCCATTTTGACGACACAGAATAGTAGTCCATCAGTGGTATAGTACCGAATAAACATATTATACATTAATAAGTTACCCACGACCAGTTAAAACTAATCTCATTTTGTGTTCATACATATTTAATATTTATTTATTTAGGCACATTTGATAACCTTAAGGAAAGTAAGTTTAGTTAAAAACTACTAAATACATAACTATATTACAGCTAAAGCTTTAAATAATAAATAATGTTATTACTACTTTATTTGTCCCTTTCATAAAGGTATTTAGCAATTGAGTCACGAACATTTTTTTCTGGTCCATTGTTCCCAGTTGTAGAAACTGTATTGGGTTGAGCTAGACTGTCATAATGATGATGCATAAGCCATTTTATTATAATAATATCGTCATATTATTTACAAATGTTGTGAAGAGTGACGCAAGCATTAACAATTCTTGTAGCAAAGTTAATATCGCATTCCATACGTTTGCAAATTACACGGAATCGAGATTTAACGCGCCCAAAAGCATTCTCAACTACTCTTCTAGCTCCGCAAAATATTTTATTGAAATTTTTTTGAATTTCATTAAGCTTCAAATTTTCAGAATAAGGTTTTAACAAATGACGCGTTAAAGGAAATGCTGAATCACCTATCAAACATAGCGGAACAAGAGAATCACCCAGCTCTTTACAACATTTATCAAATAGATTTGATTCTAAAATTGCTTTCAAAGAAGAGTTCTGCAAAATATAGCTGTCATTATTTCTACCAGGCGATCCAACACTTGTATAAATAAATCAGTATCGACAGTCTATGACGGCAAAAAGTACAATGGAATACCACCCTTTATAATTATAATAAGAAATTGCTTGATCTTTAGGGGCAAAATACGGATTTAGCGTCCATCAACAGCTCCAATGCATTGTGGAAAACCAAGAATAGTTTCGAAATCTCTACTATGTTTATTTAAATTTCTCACTGACTATGGAAATTTAACAATTTTAGGGAGCAAATTGTCATTAACAGAATTAATAAATTCATGAACAATTAAATTTGGTGTTGACTTGATCCTATGCCAAAAAGGCTAGACACAACACGATACTCTTCACATGAAGCTAAATAATGTAATGCAACTGCAACACGTTTTACTACTGAAATAGGTTCTCGCGTTTTTGTGGTAGTTTTGCCAAAATGTGGATGCAATTTATTAACTTGGAAATTAAATGTGTTACGATTTACTCAAAAATGCTCTTTAAATTCACATTCCTCCATTTGAGTGAAAATATCATTAAATCATTGAGAACTTTTCGGCCTAACCAAAACTTCTCTTTCAATCCGATACCCTTGTTGAATTAACTTAAAGGAAGCTAAATCTAAATATGAAAATGGGTGGGTGATTGATTCATCATTGATTAATGTTCTATTTCTTGATCGAAGTACGGCCAAAACGCTTTCCATGTTTTTCCAATAGCTTTTTCATTTACAGATGTCTCCCTAAAAAGCTATTGAAACTATATAAATATATAAAATAAATATAATACTTATTATATTACAATTCAAGGGAAATTAAAACACATTTTTAAAAACCATTTTGTTAGAATTGATACAGTATGATCTGTTAACAAAAATAAAAATGAAACATGTAATGCAATTTGTATAAATTAAAAACAAAACACGTTGTCAAAAAGCATATCACTATAATTCATCTACAGGCTTGCTTCATATCGCAAAAAAAAATTATTTGGTAAAAATACTAAATATATATAGCATAGAGATACAAAAAAAGGTATTTATGAAATAACATGGCAAATTTAAAAAATACCACCAGATATGCATTTTAATGCTTGAAATCACAAAATATTTTTATTTTATATAAAGTAAAAATTCCTTTGATAATGGTAATATGGTAACATGAAAAAATATATATAAGTAGAGCTTCATCTACAAGCTTGTACAATATTTCACTAACCATCTCTTTAGTTAAAACATTGAAAAACCTTATGAAATATATATTGCATAGAATTGTAAACAAGGTATACTGTTGAAAAAATATTGACCTTTTACTAAAAAGATATCTTGACTAATAGAACACCTTATTTTTTTATTAAAAATTTTTAATATTCTACTTGGGCTTTAGACACAACTACTTGGCCTTTAGATGCATTTTTAATTGCATTGCAAATACGCTCTAAAGCAACAACCTCTCTGATTCGTAGCTCTTGTGAACGGATTTGAACATCTAGATTTTTATTTGCTATTTTTAAATATTCAGAAGAAAAACTTGTTTTCTTTTATTTTTTCTCACCAGTTCAGTTTTTGCTATTTTATTGAAAGTTTTTTCATCATCAGAGTTCCTCCGTTTATTGCAGCCAGATGTAGTTTGAGTTGGTTCCTCATCAGGAATAGTGACAATTGATTGCACATCACTTGTATCATCCAAAGCTTCAATATTTAAAATACCTTGCCATCTTCCATTGTGGCAATCTATAAATAAAATATACACATTAAAAAAATTACACACTTGAGAAATGATTATAAATCATGTTTCAATCAAAATTTATTTCTTGACTTTGAAAGACTTGACTTGAAGTCATTTTATTCCCTTCCTTCCCTGAACAAAAAGAATCTATTTTGACAATAGCATTTTGCAAATTGATTTAGCCAATATTAAAATATCCCTTTTATAATTCAAAAACTTCATCTTATATGTTTTTGATCTTTATGTTTTAAGTCTGCCAAATGTTGCAAAACTAAGAGCCTCATAAACCTTATTTTGTAGAAATAGTTAACATGCTTGTTTATATTACTTTAAAAAATATATAGCACTTTAAAAAATACAACAATAAATTATACTAAACTTACCTGACCATCTTGAAAATCTTGAGTAGAAAAGTTTTGACTTTGAGATAAAAGGTCTTTGTCAAGGAAAGCTTCACCACCTATTATTTTGGCAACAATATCGTAAGGCCACCATTTACTAGGAGCTCCTCCCAATGAACCAACTTGAAGTTTTTCTCATCTATGTAAAATATGCATAAATATAAGTAAATATAAGCACATCATCAACACCGTATAACATTAATCAAATAACTTTAAATGGACAAATTATTATTAATGAAATAATTATTAACAAAATTAACGAATTATTAACGAATATTAAAATAACGAATTATTAACTAATCTTCAATACTAAATAAGATTTAAGTAATTTTTAATATAACACTCAGTTACAAGCTAAATTGCAATTAGATATTATTACACATGGTTAGTTTTGTAAAATACTTTCATTATTTCAGTAAGGTATCAAACATTAAATGTGGAATATGTACATACCTAAATTGTTTCCTCAAATTACTAATTTTAGATTGAATTTGATATCCAGTTAACGGAGGTACGATGTTAAATGTGTTTGAAAATTCAGCTGCCATTAGTTAGTAAATATTGGTGCTTCTTCTAGCAGATGTTAATGCTTTGTAATTATCTTTCCATAAATCTAATAATACTCTTGTGTTAGCCATATTCCATACAAATTTGTTTAAAGAAGATGTGCAAAGACCAATATTTGTTGTGCTAGCGTCAATACACTATTTTTCTGAATGCTGAGACATTGTGTAAAATTAAAGTTTTACCTACTAAAAAAGATAAGTACATTGAATCTTGCAACAATAACAACAACAACAACAAAAAGAAGAGAAATAATTAATAATAAAATTAAAGGTTAAACTTCATAATTGCTATAAATGGTATGGGCTTAAAATAATTTAACAATGTTATGGGCTTACTAAATAATTTAATAAATTGCCAAAAACTGGTAGCCAAGAGAACAGAAACTTTCAGATGCTACTTTTACTTTTTTTTACTTTTCCATGCAATGTGATAATTATGTTATATAACAACATTAATCTTTCAACCTTATTGTTTATTTTTATTTTTAAATGTCAATAATTGTAGTACATTGTGGCAAAGATATAAAGTACAGTCATATCAATACAGTCAATCAATAATATATATTCTGAATAATGGTCTTACTTTTACAATTATTCACAAACAGTAAATTAACTAATATTAAGTAAATACAGATTATTTATGAGGAAAATACTAATGGTAATGTTCACAAATTAAAATAACAAGATAAGACAAAACTAATATAATAAAATATATATGACATTTAAATAAAATATATGACAAAGCTCATATATAACAATATATACCAAAAATAATATTATTAATAATATTAATATAAATAATCATAACAATGATGATAATAATGATAATGATATTAATAATTGTTATTGTTGTTATTTTTATCATTATTATTACTATTATTATTCTATTATTATAATAATAATAATAATAGCTATAATAATAAATAATAATAATAATGATTATTATTATTTTTATTATTATCACTGTTGGCAAAGCCAATGATAAACAACTCTGCCTATTAGTTCAAAGTTGAATTTTATAAATAAAATTACTGCAAGTTTATTAAAAATGCATTAATAGCAATACTTGCAAATAATATAATTAAATAAAAACTATTAAACAATAAAAATTAAACTTTCTTAACGCAAGTTAAATGTTACCTTAAATTATACTTCTTGTTAATTCAAATTAAAACTGATCTTAATAAGAATAATATTGTCTTTGTAATGTTATATTTTAGGATTAGGTTTATAATTGTTTTTAAATAACTGCCCACCATCTGATCTACTCATGATTGATCACACACGAGTGGGATCGGAATTTCCTTGTTTGCATGAAATTACCACAAGTTTTTACTCAATGAATAAAGATATGAAATTATATTCAAAGAAATTTTTTGAATTCAATAAAAAAGATGGAAAGCAAAAACTAAAAGTTTTAAGGCAACATGTTGAAAGGCAAATAGTATATCGATAATCTTGTCTTGATATATGACCAAGAGCTAGGAAAATGCAGAGATCAAGGACTAAAAACTCTGGTTAAGATGACAACAACTTTGTAAAAAAATAGTTTGAGTTACTTTTCCCAACAAATTTGCATCATGCAATGTATTTTTATTGAATCATTTAGCTTATATGTATACGCTTATTTTAAAATAGTTGAAAATAGGCATTTTTTATAAAAACCAAATAAATGTTCCGGAACATTTATTTGTTCTGGGTTGGCGGGACGGTACAAAAGTTCCTCAGATGTTGCTTGAGTTTTTGTTCCATTTGCGTTCGCACGAGAGGATATTTGTTCATGTTCCATGTTCCACGGAATGTTCCATTAAATGTACCCTCGTGTGAACAGCCTATAACGGTCTTGTCACAGAACACCGTGGAAGTGCATTTAACCAGAAAGTTCACGGCTCTTTCCTTATCGTGAGACGAAATATGTCCATAGTTCGTTTCGGACATGGATATTCTGCTTACAAAAGCAAACGCTCTAACCACGGCCGCACAAATGAAATTCTTTTTTTATAACAATAATTAAACATTTTAAAAATAACAATGAAAATTAGTATATTATAATAGAAACAATAATAACAAAATCAAAATAAACAAAAAAAAATATTGTTTAAAGAACTTCAGTAGTTTAACTTTTCTATTTGTAGCAAGTTTTGATTGATAACACTTTATTTTAAAAGAAAAAAAAATTGTATTAAGCAATTTATTGCTAAAGTTACCGGTGTGAAAATACTCTAAGACCGTCAATAAATAACGTAACCACTCTAGCGACAAATTTCCCATCCCGTTTGTCACCAGTTGTTATTAACTTAGGACCCCTCTTCTACTTTTATTGAAATCCATTTTCAAGTTTTGCATTTTAATTAAAGTTAACATGTGAACTAAAACAATTTTCTCTGTTGCAATATTAACGCTGATTCTGAGGTCAGTATCATTTTTATATTTAGGTGCAATGAAAAATTTAATATAGTTGGCATATTTTAATTTAAATGTGGTTTCAACAACACTGAAATAAACTTTATCTTTGAATTGAGGATATTCAAAACTTAAAATTACTTGATATACGACATTGCTAAAATGTTTTGACAAATAATATGTTGTTATAAATGACGACAATAAAAAATATCATGCGAGAAAACCTTTAACTTTTAATAACGATGAAGCTTGGATAAAGAAAAGAAGCGTACTATTTAATGTCACAAAGAGAGCATTTGATGGAGCTGAAGTTTGCGAACTAGTTGGTATTTTTAAACTTTTTCAGCTCTCTCAACATTACGATAAAAATAATTTTGGCTTTTATCGTGACGACGGGCTTGCTATTTATGAAAACAAAATTGGCCGACAAATGAAAAAAATTGAATAGCTTTTACGCATATTTATAAAAGTAACAACAAACTTATCTTCATTGAATGTAATGTTAAAAATGTCAATTGTCTTGATGTAACATTGAATCTGATTGACAGTTCTTATCAACCATATTGTAAACCTAATAACCAACTTATGTATGTCAATTCTGATTCAAACCATCCGCCTAATATAACACAAGAATTCCCTCACACTAATGAGTTAAGACTATCGACTATGGCAGTAAATGAAACTATGTTCAATAACTTAAATCTTCCGTACAAAGAGGCTTTACGCAAATCAAGACTCAATTTAAAAATCATCTACCAACCACAAATAAACAATAATCAAAAAAAACATCGGAAACCTAAATTAAATGGTAATACCCTCCGTTTAGGGAAACTGTTAACACTAAAATTGAAAATTGCTTCTTAACTTTAACTGACCGACATTTTTCAATAGGACACAGGCTTCATAAAATTTAAATACGCAATGGCTTATAATTGCCATTAAATACACAATGGCTGATAATTGCCGAAAGGCATGAAACTCTGAGTTTCATCAAAAGTTTTTTTTAATCATTTTATATGAATAACTATTGCTCTATTATTAAATAGTATTGAGCACTCTGAAACGAACAAGAGTTTAATATATATATATATATATATATATATATATATATATATATATATATATATATATATATATATATATATATATATATATATATATATATATATATATATATATATATATATATATATATATATATATATATATATGAATATATATATATATATATATATATATATATATATATATATATATATATATATATATATATATATATATATATATATATATATATATATATATATATATATATATATATATATATATATATATATAGATATATATATGTATATATATATATATATATATATACATATATATATCGGTTTAAGAGTGATCAATATCTTTTTTTAAAAAAGATAGATCAAATAAAATTAAATTATATTAAAATAATTTAAATAAAAAAAAATACAACTTTACAATGAAACTAAAAGTTCCATGCCATTCGGCAATCATCAGCCATATTATTCAAATAAAAAATGAAAACCGTTATAAAAAATACAAATTTAGCGTTGCGACGGCATCTGACGTCAATTATACGTAATCCGATATTTGCTAATCGCCGGAATCAAAGTTAGATAGTAAAAAATTTTTTCTATGCCTACAAGCAGAAACCAATTCACTTTTCTTGTTATGTAGCAGTCGACTATCAAAAGTCATATTTAAATACTTTTCATTGATGCAAAGGTTACACTTTTTTGTAGATGGGTTAAAAAATTGGCATCTTTTAATTATGTTCCGCTTATTTATAGGCATGTTACCCGCGTCTTTAAGTTTCCAGATTTCCTTAAAAAGCTCCGTATCATTCCTATACCTGGTTGCATTAAATGATTTAAAATGGTTTGCAAATCTGAGCTTGAATGTGTTTTCACTAATTCCGATGTAGGATTTTTTGGTAAGTCTGGTATTAGGTGATTCCAAAGTGGCTTTATATACAACATTTTTTGATAGACATTGATTATTTAACGGGCATGTGGTTTTACTAATGCAGTTGCATTTAATATCATTATTGGTAAGTTTATTGCGCAAAATTTGTTGGTTGAGTGTATTAATTATTGATCAAATATTTGGCATGCAGCTGTAACTAATTTTTATTGTGTTTCTGTTGAATATTTTGTGGAGCTTATGATGTAATGGAAAATCCAAGTCAATGAAGTTTAAGAATAAATGTCCAATTTTTGTTATCACATTTTTACTGAAAGGAGGGTTAAACTATATAATATTTCTTTTTCGTTTATTAGTAATAGAAGAATTTAGATTTGAATGATATTGGGAATGGTGTGAAATCCAGACATTTCTAATGCGTCATTATAAATTGGAGCAGTCTTTTGGAATATTTCTTCGCTTGAAGAATTGGAAGATAACCTATGTCCAATTGAGATTAGAAATTCTTTTAAAATGCTTTGTGGATGGTTGGAATTAGCATGGATATAATTTAACGTACTATCAGGTTTATGGTAAAGTTGAAGGTGTTGTTATTAAGATTAAATGTAGCATCAAGGTAACTAACAATTTTCATATTAGATTTAATGGAAATACTGAGGTTGTTTTGTTTAAATATTTGAGTAAAGTACTTCTTAATTTTTTTTATTTTTGGACCGCTTTCGTTTTAAATACAGCTAAGCCATCGTCTTTATATAATCCAAAATCAGTTTTATTATAAAATTGCGAAATCTGGAAAAGAAGAAAAATACCAACTAATTCGCACACCTCCGCTCCATCAAATGCACCCATGGTAACATCAAACAAACCACCTGATTTTTTAATCCAAACGTGGTCATTGGTAAATAATAAAGATTTACGCGCGTGGAGGATTAAAGATTTATGATCAGCATCAATGGAAACGTATTGTTCTGCAAATTTTATGGAACCGATAAATAGCTTTTCATTAATAGAAGGATAAAAGTCAACGATGTCGAAAATAAGGAATTTATAAAAATGTTTGTCATTGATGTTTTCGAACCAATTTATTACATTTCGTGT